TATATTTAAAAACTCTTTAGTCATGATGGAACCAGGTAGTATATTAAAATTCAACTGCCACAACCACTTCTGCAATAAAAATGGATTTGTCAGAATTAGTTTTCGTGTAGTGAATTTTTCTTGAAGTGGTGACTGTAGATGGGAATGGCATACACATCATAAAAAATCGAAATAAAAGTTTTTCATAAATAAAAAACAGTTCATTCAACTGATATTGTGTTTAATTTACTAAAAACGTGATGATATATTAGGAAATGCAAATAAAAATAAACTGTTTATAGATTTTAATATCAATATAATATTTAGTAAATTAATTATTACCAATATCAGATATTGTACTTCGCAAAATTAAACATTGCTTACATATAAACCAAAATAACAAATATTATATTAATATAAAAAAAATTAAGTTATTTATATATATTAAAAGAATATTAATAAATAATATATCATGTTTCCACATAATATTTACTTTATCTGTCATTAAATTTGTTTTGTTGTTTTAGCACAATTTTAATTTAACAAATTCCTTTCACCATTATTATTATAAAAACAAATTTGCATAACGTAAAATTTTTATTAATATAACTTGAATTTTAAGAAACCAAATACTGAAATCCACACAAAATACAAACGTATACATTTTACTTATAGTAATAAAAAATTTTAATTATTTTTATTAACTTTTCGTTAAACTCAATTAGGCTAAATACGAGTAAAGTATTTTGACAAAAAGTTCGTGTCTTAAGTTTTTTGTCCGCACAGCCTTGAGCTAATTTATTCAAGCTCCTTATCAGTCATTGCACTTTAGCTTTGTTTATTATTATTAATAAAACTTAAAGCTAATTAATTTTTTTATTAACTTTAATAACTAATAAAATGCATTTCCGGAAATAATCTAAATTTTTATTTAAAAAAAAATTTGTATTATTAAGTAAAAATTTAATCGTATCAAAGTCACAAAAATGCTGTGACTAAAACTTTTAGCAATGACAGATAAAATGATTTTTAATTATTTTTTCTACAGTTACTTTGAAATTTATTATACCAAAGCTAAAAGTGATTTATCAACTTTGACATGAGATCGAAATTCAAAATTAAAATGTTTAAACCACAAACTTCTACTGAAAAAAATTAACACAAAAACAAGTACCGTGGGATTAAAACTCTGTGGATCAGATTTTGTCATTTTCAGTGCATCATCATTGAATAGAAGTATTTCTTTAAATAAAAGAGACAGGTATTTCATAATATAGTATATAGTGCAAAAATAAGAAATGTATGTATATACTTATTAACTATCGTGAATC